TAGGAGACCATCGCCACAGAACCACACAAGACGATCACCAGGAGACCACACAAGACCATCGCCACGGGACCACAGGAGAACATCGCCACAGGACCACATGAGACCATCGCTAGGGGACCACATGAGACTATCCCACAGGAGACCATCACCAGGGGAACACAGGAGACGATCGCCACGGGACCACAGGAGACCATCACCAGGGGACCACAGGAGACCATTGCCACAGGACCACACAAGACTATCACCAGGGGACCACACAAGACCATCGCCACAGGACCACAGGAGACCATTGCCAGGGGACCACACGAGACCATCGCCATGGGACCACACGAGACCATCGCCACAGGACCACACGAGACCATCACCACAGGACCACAGGAGACCATTGCCAGGGGACCACACGAGACCATTGCCAGGGGACCACACGAGACCATTGCCATGGGACCACACGAGACCATCACCAGGGGACCACACGAGACCATCACCAGGGGACCACACGAGACCATCGCCACGGGACCACAGGAGACCATTGCCACAGGACCACATGAGACCATCGCCAGAGGACCACATGAGACCATCAACAGGGGACCACACAAGACCATCACCAGGGGACCACGTGAGACCATCGCCACAGGACCACACAAGACTATCACCAGGGGACCACACAAGACCATCGCCACAGGACCACAGGAGACCATTGCCAGGGGACCACATGAGACGATCGCCACAGGACCACACAAGACCATCACCAGGGGACCACAGGAGGCCATCACCAGGGGACCACACGAGACCATCGCCACAGGACCACAGGAGACCATTGCCAGGGGACCACATGAGACAATCGCCACAGGACCACACAAGACCATCACCAGGGGACCACAGGAGGCCATCACCAGGGGACCACACGAGACCATTGCCACAGGACCACAGGAGACCATTGCCAGGGGACCACACGAGAGCATCGCCACAGGACCACCCGAGACCATCGCCAGAGGACCACATGAGACCATTGTCATGGTCCAAGCCGGGACACCTCGCTCTCCACACGGCACTCTTTCACGTTGAGAGATGGTATTCCCTTGCAGAGTCAATGTCTGGGGCATGGTCGCAGGCCCTTGGCTGGGGCTCTGAAAGTTCTAGCCCAGCCTTTGTGTGGAGCCCAGTGCAGTCTCAGAAAGGGTGGAGGCCCAGGACCCAACCCTCCTGGGTCCCTCCTGGGTCCCTCCTGCCCAGACATGAGCTCTCCACCTCCACAAAGCCCACCCACCATCCTCGGCAGGTAGGAGAGCTGCCCTTACCCTTCCTCAGCTTCTTGGCCTAATCACTGGAGGAGGTGACGGAGCCTCCACTTTGTCTACACAGTGCAGCAGCAGGGTGGGAGGGGCTTAGCGTGTCCTTGCCCTGGGAGGGCTTCCAGGGCACTCCACAGGGGTGCGCCCCTCTCCGTCCCCACCAGGAACAGCCAACCACCCTGTGGGACACACCCTCTGCCCGGTCCTGGGCTGACCCTCCTGGAGCTGTGTCTCAGAAACAGGACTCGCTCCTTAGGTCTCTGCTCCGACTCAGAGGGGCTCACAGCTGTAGGTTTAAATGTAAGGTGGAAGGGAGGCTGCCTGGCCCGAGTGGGTGGGAAGAACTGCTCCCCCCCCGCCCCAGGCGTTATTCAGAGCAGGACTGGGGCCCTCTGCCCCCGGGAGCAGCTGACAGGTGTGCAGTGGCGGCAGTGGGGATGGGGGGTGCTTACTTGGGTTTCTTGACGTCTGTCATCTTGGTGTGCTCCCCGAACTCCCGCTTCAGGAACTCCTCCAGGGGCCCCGACTCATAGGGCCGCGAGCCCCGGAACACCTCATCCTTCATGCGGAAGTACACGCCACGCATGTAGGCCATGGACTTACCTAGGAACGAGGGTGGGAAGTAAGAGACACCAGGGCCACACGCGCCTGCCAAGGTGTGAGACCACTGATGGGGCCAGCAATGCTGGGGAGGCAGCAGGGGGGGACATTCGCCAAGGAACGCGTCAGCCTAAGCTTCAGGCCTTCCTCTGTGACTTCACACAGGGGCAGGCGTCCACCCCAACGGGCCCACGGCTCTGCCCCTCGTTCCGTATTATTTTCCTTAAAGAAGGGCCCCCGAGGTTTGCAGCTTGTAGGGCTTAGAGCCACCCTGTCAGCCACGGAGGAGGAGTGCCCTGTCCTCTGCACCTGCAGAACAGATGCAGTCAAGGGGCAGGAAGCAGAAGCTGCCCCTCGGCCTCATCAACCCCCCGTGCCTGCGTGTGCCGGTGCAGCGCGGCCGAAGCAGAGCTTCTGCCCGTGGGAGAAACTCGACCAGCAACTTCTCAAGCCCCTTCCGTAGCTCCCAGAAGTCTGAGGAGCCCAGTTCGGGAGAACGGCCCCCAGAGGAAAGCAGGCCCCCTGGAGAAGAGACCAGGGCCTGCGCCGGCTCTGGCCACACGACCTTCCTGGAGGTTCTGGCTTCTGAGATGGCTCTTCCCTCCCGGAGGGTAGAGATGGAGACCAGAGAGGGACGTGCGCCTCTGAGGCTGGGGGAGAGCCGTGCTGGCTCTGCCCAGCTCACAGGCGCTCGTGTCCCCATCTGCTCACCCCACAGGGCCATGGTGGCAATCATTAAAACAAAACGAAATTCTCATCAGTACACATGGGCGTGAGCACTGCCTGAGCCCCCTGGGGCACTGCTCTCTGCAGCTTCAGGGCTGGCTGCCCTTGGCGTGCCTGCTGTGGCCTTCTCACATGGCCCAGTCAATGTCCAGAAGCCGGCACCCCCCACATGAGGCGAGTGTGGGCCTGACTCGGCCCTAGTGCCCAGCACAGGCACCTCCAGGGCTTCAGATCACAGGATGCGAACTCGGAGGATGTTCAGAGAGAACGGAATCTGACAGCTGGTGTTTCAGAGCTTTGGGGAAGAGAGGGCTTTGGGGCAGCCCTGTCTCCCCGGTCAGCATAACGCAGTCCAAAAAGCTCCCTGGAGGAGACACCACTGGAGTCACGGCATCAGCCTAGCCAGCAGCCTTTCCAGTGGGCCAAGTGCAAGGCCACAGTGAAGGGAGGCCGTGGCAGTGGCCTGGGACATACTGAGTCTGGGGGAGTGCACTCGGGCCTGAGCAATCCCAAGGAGTAGCCATGAGACTTTTGCCACCACTCCCCACCCAGGGCCTTAGTTTCCTGTGGGTCAGTGGTGTGTTCAGAGCAGGGTGGTTCTCCTTGTCTGGAGACAGGAGCTGAACACAGTGGGAACGGGTGGCATAGGCAACCAATCTACAGATTCTTCCTACACTGGAAGTGAGCACCAGCTCTGCCCTGGTGGCCAGGCCAACGGACAAGGCCAACTGCAGCCCCTACGAGGGGCCTCCAGGCCCACCCCTGCCCCACAGCCCTCTCTCCCCCGAAGCTCTAATAAAGGACTCAGCCCTGCTGAGGGCCGGTCTCAGCCCCTCCCCACCCGGCCACCCCAGGAGTGGGCTCACTGTGTAGGATGGCCAGGGCCAGGATGCCGCCAGTGCTGGTCCCTGCCACCCAGTCGAAGAGGTCCTTGGTGGCCACGCCTGAGGCCTTCTCGATGGCGATGAGGAGCTGGATGATGACGAGGCCTTTCACGCCCCCGCCGTCCAGGCAGAGCAGGTGGTCATGGCTGCAGTGGGCACAGCAGTGGAGACGGGGGTCCTGTCACCACCTGGCACGGATGCCTCATGCTTCCTCAGCCCGTGCCCCCCGCACGCATGGTGGTTGCAGGAGCAGACAAGACCTGCCCTCGTGGCACAGTGCGGGAGGCAGGGAGGCGTGGTGTCTGGCGGGGACAATGGCTCTAGTACAATAGCAGGGCAGCAGGGGCGGGGACGCCTCACAGAGCAGGTGCCATCCCCCCAGACACTGCCTGGACGGGGGATTTGCTAAGGGCCCACGACCAGGCCTGATGCAAAGCAGGTACCTGACAAGTCTGTCTGGATTAATCAGGCTAGGAAGGAAGAGCTGGGGCGGTGTGTGTGTGTGGTGGGGGGGTGGTGTCAGGACCCTCTGTTCAGCCTGGGAGATGCACGGTGGGAGGGGTAGGAGGAAGGACGTGGACATGCCAGGGCCTCACCTCCCTGTCCTGAACCCCTCTGAGGTGACACCTCCTGCTACCCCCATGCGTATTTTTGGATAAGGAAGAGGCGACAGTCACACAGCTGACTTGAGACCACCATAACCCCAGGTGCTTCCGACTCTCACTCAGCCCCACCTGGTCCTGCTACACACTCTGCATCTCCTCCTCTGGCCAGGAAATGCCAGTCCTCCCTCAGGTACAGCTGCCCATATATGCATGTGTGTGTGTGCATGAACAGGTGTGTGTTAGGTGCACACGAAGAGGGAAGGCCAGGATGCTGCTGGAACAGGTGTGTCTCTGGGGCAACCAAGGGGATGCTGGCACCCACAGGCAAGAGTCATCAGGGCCGCGGGACGTGGCTGCCTGGGAGTAGCGGCTGCCATGCGATTCCAAAAGCAGAGCTTCCCCTGCAGGTCAGGCAGCAAGGCCGTGGGGTTGGAGACCAGGGCGGGGCCGTGGCCCTGAACTCAGTCTGCAGCCTGAGCAGCCATGGGCCTCCCAGGGACTCCCAGGACTGTGTCTGCATGGCACCAGTGCTGATCTCCTCCCGCCCCCATGCAGGGCAGGTCGCAGGAACACGAGGAAGCAATAAAAAACAAATAAACAACCTGTGCTCAGAGGGACGGAGCAGAGCACACAGCTGGTTGGAAACGCATTTGTTCCGGTAACGTCTGTGGCAGCTGGCACTGATTCTGGACGCCAGGTTCTGTGCCTCAAGGGCAGGGCTTGGGCCTCTTCTTGTTGTGGCCCCTGGAAGGGCCTGGGTACACAGCAGGTGCTTGGGAAAGCGCTCACCCACTACTCTGGGCAGGGAGCTGGGTAAGGGATCAGGCAGGGTAGGAGGAAGACTGCTGAGCTCGCTCTGCACGAAGGATCCGGGCGACACTCGCCTCCCCAGACCAGGCTGATGTCTAGGAGGGAAGCAAGAGGGCCATCCTGGGCCTGCCTCCTCCCAGCTGCATGGCCTGCACCGTCTGTCATGGATGAACCAGCCGAGAGTGCCAGGCTCAGTCTGCTGTGAACTGCAGAACCGGGAGAATCCTCACGGGCCATGGTGGGGATGAGACAAAAGCCCCAAGAGCACCGGAGGCACCAGCAGAGGCTGTGCCGTGGGCCCCTGGCTCTCGCCCACTTACGTCCGCTTCTCGTCCCTCAGGGAGCTCAGGATAAACGCCGGCTTCCGGGCCCGGGAGATGTGCATGACATCCTGCAGTTCTGCAAGGCACAGGGCAGGCGTGGGGCCAGGCTCACCCCTCCAGCCCCCCAACCTGGGACTGCGCCCCACATGTGCCCAGGGCCGAGCTCCCGCCCCCACCCCTAACCCCATCATCTGCCTCTGCCGAGGCCCCAGGCCTGCCGGGTGGGGGGCCTGCCAGGGCGGCACGGAGCCTGCTGCTCTGGGAAGGGCTCTCCACCCACCCAGCCAATTTCCAGATGCTGCTCCAAGTCCTCCTCCTGGCACCCTGATATGGGGCACCCCTGCTGTGTCCTGAGGCCTGCCAGTCACAGAGCTGCTTTGTGAGCCAGAGCCCAGGCTGCTGACATCCACCCTCGGGCCTAAGAACTGTTATCCCCAGTCACAGACTCGGAGACACCGTGACTTTCCAAAGTCACTGGACCAAAGCGCTGAGTCTACGTGTCCTTAGGGAGTCGCCTCCCTGGACGATGGGAGATTAACAACTGATCTCTAGATGGCCCTGTCTTGATCCCGCAGGTCGGGAAGCACCCTCAGCGGCCTCAGGTGCACCCACCCACCCCACCCACGTCTTCCCTGGTGCCCCAGGCCCTCCCCACACCCACCCTCCGGGCAGGCAGCACAGCAGCCGGGGCCCCGCCCACCAGGGCCTCCCAGCACTGCGCAGGAAGGCTGGAAGCAGCAGGGCAGCAGGCAGTGCGCCCCTCACCAGGGCGAGCAGCACAGTGGGCGCAGCCAGCGCCAGGCAGAGGGACAGTGTGTGGTGTGCGACTGGGGAGGAGGAAGAGGGAGCAGGACGAGAGCTACAGCTAGCACGGGCGTGACTGGGCTCTGCTGCCTCGCGAGGCCCAGGCTTTACCAACGTGCCGCAGCGCCCCAGGCCCGCCATCCAGCCTGGCTCGGGTGACCACCTGCCTGTAAAACGGAGAGACAGAGATGGGGCAGGGCCAGCAGGAGTAACTGTGGCTGCTGCTCTGCTTCCGGCGGGGCTGGTGTCTGCCTCCTGCTCAAAGCAAAGCCTCTCTTGCCAGACTGGTTCCCAGCTGCCCTCCGTTCAGGGGATCCCACGCCCAATCAGGCGAGAACCCACAGCAGGGCCCCCATCCTCTGGGGCTGTCTCCATGGACACCAGGGATGAGTGTGGCAGAGGCCAGGTGCTTGCTTATTAGCTGGAGGTCACTGGAGAGGCCAGCAGGGGGCACACGGGCCTCAGGCCCAGCAGATCCAAACTGTAGAGGGAGCCAAAGCCAGAAGCCAGAGACTTGGGGCCCCTAACAGCACTCCTCACTGCCCACCCTGAGCTGCGGGGGGACAAGGAGAGGCAATCAGAGCGCCTGCCTCACGGGTGCTGTGGGAAACGCCTGACCTGAGACCCAGGTCCAGGACATCCTCTCAGGGGCAAAGAACCGTGCAGCCTCAGCCAGGGGCCCCGGGCCTCGGCGTCACCAGCTGCCCACAGAGGCTACCATTCTGCCTTTTCCTCTCAGGCTCCCTTCAACCACGTCCACCCCAGGACCCTGCTTCTCTCCAATCAGGACTGCCTCTGATCCAAGGCCCTGGGCGCCTGCTGGGGGAGGGCACGTGGGGCGAGTGGCCTACCTAGGTTGTTTAAGCTGATCGGCGGGGGCTGAGCTCTCTCCAGGGAGAAGAAGGGGTGATGTGATGCCGCGGAGCCCTGCTCCGCGGGGACCCCTTGGAGGAGTGGGAAGCGGTGGTCGGCCCCCACAGTTCTCAGCAGAGTCAAGAGCGCCTTCCTGGTGACAACTTGTCATGGTTGGGGGAAGGGAGATTGCACAGGATAGAAATGGTGTCAACATGCAAGTGAGAGGCCCCCCCTTTCCGCACATGGTTCCCTGCCCATCTTCCAGGAACCTGGGTGTGAGGGGAGCCACCCTGGCAGGGCTGCCTCTGCTCCGTTCCACCCAGAGCGGCCTCCCAGGCCCAGGGAAGGCGCTGGGAGCTGACCATGGGAGTGGCAGGAGGGGTGAGTCGCTTGCCCGATTATTTTCAGAATCCTGTCTTTCCTTCTGTACCAGCCTAAAGCAAGGGCTTCCCACCTCCACAGTCAGCGGCTCTCACAAATGCTGTGTGGACAGTTCCTTTCAGAGGTCAAAAGGGACGAGCCAGCCAGCCAGGGGCGCTCACCCCCATTTAACAGCTGTGAGGACTGACAAGGGTGCCACAGGAGGCAGTGTGGACACACACACACACAGGGACGCACACAGGGGCACACACGTGGACACAGGCACACACACTCAATGGTAGCCCCCACGGCTCCCTGAAACCCTGCAGAGGGGCCCAGGCTTCTGCAGCCAGGCTCCCTGGGTGAGCATGCCATGCATGCACAGCGCCTCATGTGCACAGGGCGTGCGTGGGGCTGGGGCAGCACAGCGCATGCTCTGACCCTGTGGCTGTTCTTGCGAGTGGTTCCATCGGTGCGCTCACCAACAGTAAAGAGGAGGCTGCAGCTGCCTACCCCACCCTACCCCTGCTGGGAGTCAGAATCCCTGAGATGGGGCAGGAAGCTTCTTGAAAGGCAGTCCTGGCTTGGCAAGCCCTGAGTGGGCCTGCATCTGCTGCGTGGGGCCCTCTCTGAGTGGCCTGGCCTTTGTCAACATCCAGGGAGCATCTGGGGCCATCGGCACAGAAAACCCTGGCACCGGTGCCCGGGGCTCCCTTCCTCCAACCCCTACACCTTGACTCTGGTCCCGGAGAGCAGAGCACATACGTTTGCTGATCTTGGAGGCTATGAAGGCAGGAGTCTCCCCGAAATCATTGGGTGTGTCCACCTCTGCCCCAAACACGATGAGGGCCTTGACCATCTCCACGTTGTCTTTCTGTCGGGGATGGAGGGGGGACACAACAGCTCAGGGAGATGAAGACGGAAAGGAGCCGGGGCCCTCCCTGGCCCCCACACCCAGGGGATCTGCTCTCTCAAGGTCTGCATGTTGAAGGTGGGGGCCTGATAGATGGGCGTATCCATCAGTATATCCCCAGGGGGTATACTCCAGCAAACACTGGAGGCCACTTGGGCCAGCTCCTCCTCACGGGCAGCAGTGTGTCTGTGGCCCTGACCTGGGAGCCTGGGGTACCCTGAACGGTGAGCTCTGGAAGCTTTAGGGAGGGGCAGGAAGTGAGTGAGGGAGGACAGGTAACTGCCTTGCTCACCCAGCCCAGGCCACCATGTCTGAAAGGTAACTCGGCGGCACCCTTCAAAGGGAGCTTCAGGGGGCTGGTGCTGTGGCGCAGCGGGTAAAGCCACCAGCAGTGCCGGCATTCCACATGGGCGCCGGTTCGAGACCTGGCTGCTCCACTTCCCATCCAGTTCTCTGCTATGGCCTGGGAAAGCAGTGAAAGATGGCTCAAGTCCTTGGGCCCCTGCACCCGCATGGGAGACCTGGAAGAAGCTCCTGGCTCCTGGCTTTGGATCGGTGTAGCTCTGGCCATTGCAGCCATTTGGGAAATAAATCAGGGGATGGAAGACCTCTCTCTCTACCTCTCTCCTCTGTGTAACTCTGCCTTTCAAGTAAATAAAATTTTTTTTTTTTAAAAAGGGGGAGCTTCCGTCCACAGAGTGCTGTGCAGTTAAACCTCTGGGGGTGGGCCAGGGGACAGGGCATGGCATGGTCATCCAGGGCAAACAGATGGGCCACCTGGCAATCTGAGCTGAGGCCTTGTCACCTCCCTCTCCTTGGGGCCTGACTTGTCCACCTGGAGAACAAAGTGACTTGTCTAGAGTGGGGTTCTCCAGTGGTTTCTCGTCGCCCCATGGGCACGGGCAAATGTGAACAGGATCATTCGCTGGGCACCTCTTGGAGGCTACACTAGTTTCCCATGTACAGCAGCGGTCTGACATGTCCTTTCAATCTAAGTAAGTTTCAAAACATAAGCTGGGGCCAGCGCTGTGGCGTAGTGGGTTAAGCCTCTCTCTGTGTCTCTCCCTCTCTCTCTCTGTAACTCTGCCTCTCAAATAAATAAATCATTACGAAAAAAAAAATCTTAAGCCGATATCAAGAAGGCATTAGCCACACGATCATAAAGGCTCCTGCTGAATATGCCAAGAGTGCTGAAAGTGGTCTGCAAAGGAGCAGAGCACGGGAAGCCATCAACGGCACTGGCAGTGTGGACCCCTGCCATGTGTGAGACCCCTCGGAGGATCTGCAAGGTGAAACTGCTCTCCAATACCCAGGCGCCATCTGCTTTCAGGCCGTGCTGACACTGGCACTGACGGCGCAAAAACACGGAGGATACAACTGCTGGTGCCTTCGCACCAATTATGGCGGCGGCACTGAGAGCCGTCACTCTGCACTGCTGGACAGTCGAGGGAGCCCGGATGAGACAATGAGCATTGCTCGTCTCATTCGTGTTTGCTATGTCATAAATGGAAAGCAGACACGAGGCGTATCTGCAGCACAGTGGAAGCATGGCATGGCGTTCACTCGGGGAAACGCAGTTACAGCTGCGTGGAAGTTGCCAGCCCAGCTGGCTGCTCTGCTTCCTGGATGCCATTTTTACTTGAAAGAATGACTGCTGGACAAACTGTGACGGATCAGCCCAGGGTATTTAGCAGCTGTTTTCTCAAAAATGAATGCAGTGAACTTGCTACTTCAAGACAAACAACGGAGGGCTGGCTCTCTGGTCAGCAGGTTACGTCACTGCTCACGATGCCAGCGCCACAAGCTGGTGTCGGTTCAAGTCCTGGTGCTCTCCCTTTCCTTTCCCTTTTTTTTTTTTTTTTAAGATTTCTTTATTTTATTTGAAAGCAGGAGTCACAGAGGATGGGGCAGGGGGAGAATATTTTCCATCCACTGGTTCACTCCCATGCGGCCACAGCAGCCAGAGTTGAACCAGGCTGAAGCCAGGAGCCTAGAATTCCATCCATGTCTCCTACATGGTGGCAGGGGCCCAAGAATTGGGTCACCTTAAGCTGATTTTCTCAGGCCATTAGCAGGGAGCTGGATCAAAAGTGGAGCAGCCAGGACACAAACCAACACCCTTACAGGATGCCAGCATCGCAGGGATCCTCAGTCAATGCTGATAATAACTGTACACAGGGACCAGAGAGAAGGGAAGGTTGGAGGGCTGATAGAACAGTCATTCTAAGGGCCCCATTCAAGGCTAAAAATGTCTCGGGGCTTATTGATCGGTTTAGCCTCTCGGGCAAATCTCCTCTGTAGTCATGACTTTTGGTACAAAACAGGATGTCCTGAGTCTGTCTTGGGTCAGGTATTTGGCCTGGTAGTTAGACGCTTGATCCCACTAACAGAGTACCTGGGTTCAGCGTTGGTTCTGTCTCTGGTTCCTGACTCCAGCTTCCTGCCAGTGCAGAAGGGGATGGCTCAAGTACATCGGTGCCTGCCGCCCACATGGGAGGCCCTGATGGAGTCTGGAGCACGTGGCCTCAGCCTGGCCCAGTCCAGGCCACTGCAGGCATTTGGGAGTAACCCAGCGAATGGGAGCTCTGTGTGGCTGACTCCGTGTGTGTCTGTGTCTGCCTCACAAATAAATACATTTTTGAAAACGTAACGAATCTGTCCTGACTACTTCCTTTAGGGTCACAGCGTGGTCTCCTGTCCTCTCACTCTGATACTTGCCAACAGATGTGTGTCCGCGTGGTACTGATACAGAGTACGTGCATCCCCCGTGTGTCTACATCACAGCAACACCCTTCCCTGGGTTTAATGCGTCCACACCACAGCTGCCTAAGCAGCCTGCAGGGCCTTCCAGGGCAGGAATCGCGTTCCAGAATAAACCAACACAGTGACCAACACCTGCCCTGGCTCCTCAGCCATGTCAGCAAACTCTGCCTCCTGGGTGCGCCCTGTCCGCCTGGGCGTGTGAGAGCGACAGGTGGCTGACCGCCTTCCCCAGTCACTGGTATCTGCTGGAGGTCCTCTCCAGGCTGGGCACCGCATACATGGTGTAGACGCCGTGTGGTACCAAGTGTCCACTGCTGATCCCACAGCACCACTCCCAGTGAGTGCACACTGCCGTTTTCCAATGAGAACATCAAGGCAGACGGAGGATGCGACTTGTCCCAGGCCACAGCTGGCAGCCACAGCTGTCCCTCTCCCCTTTTACACCACACAAGTGTCAAAAGTAGGGCACAGGCTGTCACTGTGGCACAGTGGGTTAATGCCCTGGCCTGAAGCGTCAGCATCCCATACGGGAGCCAGTTCAAGTCCTGGCTGCTCCACTTCTGATCCAGCTCTCTGCTGTGGCCTGGGAAAGCAGTAGAAAATGGCCCAAGTCCTTGGGCCCCTGTACCCATGTGGGAGACCTGGAAGAAGCTCCTAGCTCCTGGCTTCTGATCGGTGCAGCTCCAGCCATTGTGGCCAGTTGGGGAGTGAACCAGTGGATGGAAGACCTCTCTCTCTCACTCTCTCTGTCTCTCTCTCTCTGTCTCTCCTCTCTCTGTAACTCTTTCAAATAAATAAATAAATCTTTTAAAAAAAAAGTAGGGCGGCCAGCGCCGTGGCTCACTAGGCTAATCCTCCGCCTTGCAGCACTGGCACACCGGGTTCTAGTCCCGGTCGGGGCGCCGGATTCTGTCCCGGTTGCCCCTCTTCCAGTCCAGCTCTCTGCTGTGGCCCGGGAGTGCAGTGGAGGATGGCCCAAGTGCTTGGGCCCTGCACCCACATGGGAGACCAGGAGAAGCACCTGGCTCCTGCCTTTGGATCAGTGTGGTACGCCGGCCGCAGCGGCCATTGGAGGGTGCACCAACGGAAAAGGAAGACCTTTCTCTCTGTCTCTCTCTCTCTCACTGTCCACTCTGCCTGTCAAAAAAAAAAAAAAAAAAAAGTAGGGCCCAGGAGGAAACAGTACTGGAACACAGAGGGAGAAGACATCTTTACACTGAGGGGGCACACGGAAGGCTTCCCGAGGGAGGAGGCAGGGTCTGAACCGAGCCTTGGAAGGCAGGACTGTCGGTGGTGGAGGAGAGGAGGGGAGCCACAGGGAGGTGAGCGCCGGCCCCTGATCCCTGTCGCCTGGGCAGCCAGCATGGGCCCGGCACGGAGGACGCGCGGACCGCAGACTCACCGACACGGCCAGGTGCAGCGGGGTGTTGCCGTGCTCGCCGCGGGCATCGGCGTTGGCGCCGTAGGTGAGCAGCACCATGACGCACTCGAATCGGTTGCGCATCACGGCCACGTGCAAGGCTGTGTACCCCGAGGAGCTGGTGCTGTTCACGTCGCAGCCTCGCTTCAGCAGCAAGCGAGCCATCTGTGGGGACAGCTTGGGCCTGAGTCAGCACCAGGGCGCTGCCCTGCCTGCGGTACCAGGGCCGCCTCTTCCCCTAACACGCTTCCGATACTGGGCCCTGGGAGCAGGCTCCTGCTCCAGGTGGAGTGGCCCTAGACCCTGCTCCCATACCTTCTGCACCCTAGGGGCCAGGGTCAAAAGCCAAACATGCACCAACCAACAGGACCCCAGTCCCCCTGATGGGCACTGTCCACACACATCCTGCCCCCTGCAGCTGTCCTGGGCCTGGAAGCCTGGGAGAGCCTGGGATCACGGGGTAGCCTCTGGGCTTTGGAGCCAGAGAGACCTGGGCCATCTGAGCTTGGAGGGGCAACCCTGGCCCTCCGCACCTCAGCGTCCTCTTCTGAGGAAACAGGAACCAAGTCCCTGCCTCGCCCAGCGCAGCACCTCCGAGTGACAGAACACACAGGGTGCTGGACCTGGGGTCCAGCTCTGGACGCACAGAGATGCCTCCCTCCCCCGGCTCATCACACTGATGGACAGCCAGCATCTCTGGGGCACCTTCGGAGCCAAGTCAGGCTTCCTGGCGATGAGACCAGTGGCCTCCTTCCTCCCAGAGGACACAGCCTGGTATAGGGAAAGACCTCAGAGTGGACGTCCAGCTGACCTCATCCTCATGGTCGTCAGCCCCGCAGCTTCACCCCTCACCCCCTCACTGTCATCCTCATCCCTGCCACCCCTCCCCTCCCCCACCTCTGTGAGCACTTTCAGTGTGTGAGCTTGCCTCGGGCACCGTCTCACTGATTCCTCGGCACTGCCAAAGGCTGGCCCTAAGCCCCCGGATTCAGGCAGAGGGGCCAGCACCACCCGGCCAGGGAGCAGCGGAGCAATGCCAGGACCTCAGCTCTCCGTGGGCTTATGTGCCTGTGGGCCACCATGAGCCCAGCCCCTTACGTGGCGTCGTCAGAGTCCCCACAGGAGCCTCCCCCCGCAGGCACAGCCCCCTGTCCCACCCCCGAGCCTGCCCACCTCCGCATTCTTGGCCCAGTGCAGGGGGCTGGCTCCATAGCGAGGGTCTTTGCTGTGGATCTGGTTGCTGTCCATGCTGATGATCATCTCAGCACACCTGGGGACAGAGGAGGCAGGGCGGAGAGGAGAGGCTGGGATGGACCTGGAACTGGATCAACTTCCCTATGGATTGAGCAGGGAGGGTCTGACCTGCAAGCAAAGTTGCAACAATGCCAACCAGCCTGGGCAACGATTTCTTAGACGTTACACCAGAAGCTCAGGCTGCAAAAGTGAAATAAAGAAACAGGGCTACACCAAACCAAGAGGCACCTGCACAGCAAAGGGAATAGCAAAACGCACAGGCAGCTGTGGGGAGCAACTCGGACTAGACTAAGTTACTGGAATTAAGACTTATTCTATGCATCTGCTCTCCCACAATATGGCGCTGGGAGAGGAGACAACAGCTTCTACGCAGCTGCCTCCAGTTCAACCAATAAACAGCAGGACCTGCTCCTGATTGGAGGAGAGCAGCGTACTCGGCGTGTGGGTAGCAGAGTTGGGATTGGTGGAAAAGGACTATAAAGGAGGAGAGAGACAACATGCACCAGGAACATCTAAAGGGAACATCCGGATGACACCTGAGCAGCCCCCGAGAGAGCCGGCCGGCGGTGTGCCGCTCCCCCTTGGAAGTGGGGAAAGTGGCAGGGGGAGCCGCCCCTCCACGGAGGTGGAAGGGACGGTAGCCAACCCGGGAAGAACCAGCAGCAAACCTGGGGAGGGCCGAGCAGATGAAAGAACAGCGCAGGGTCTAGTGTCGCTCCTCCACGAAGAGGGGGAGCGACATAATGGTGCCGTGACTCGGATAGGGAAACCTAGGCAGGGTTTAGTGTCGTTCCTCCACGAAGACGGGGAGCGACAGGCAGCCTCATGGGCTGGACATCGGATAGGGCTGACATTCAAGAGCACACACTCACACGTGCGGGACTCCATTATAACGGGCAAGAGGACCTGAGCAGACATCCAGAGAAGACACGGAAACAGCCCGCAGGGGCACAGGAAGGTGCTCGCCCACTGAGCAGGAGACGCGCACCCCAGCCACAGTGAGCTCAGAGCTCACTCCCCTAGGGCGGCTGTTCTCAACAGTACACACCACATCAGAAAAGGGAACCACGTACGCTGTCTACGGGAACGTGGGCTCGTGCAGCTCCTACGGAAATCACTATGGTGGCTCCTACAGAAATTACAAACGGAACTACCATCCCACCCTGTCTCCCCTCTCAGGGCACGCAGCCAAGCTGATGAAACCCCCACCCCGGAAAGCCGCCTGCACTCTCAGGGTCGCCGCAGCACCCGTCGCAGTAGCCGGCCTGCAGGAACGACCCGGGTGCCCACCCACGGACAGTGGAAAGAGAACCTGAGGCACACACAAGCCACGCACATGCAGACATGCCTACATGCATGCGCACACGCACACACACCCGTGCGTGCACGATGCGTACTACATGCACGTACACAGAGATGCACGCGCGTGCGCACACACACACACACACAGAGGGAGCGTCATAAAGTTCAGGAGAAAACTGGATGCAAAGATGGCGAGACTCCAGTGGCCTGTCTGAAGCCCATCCAGGCAGCCGCGCACACGGTGGAGTACAGCTGACTGCTAGGAGAGGAGACGCCGCGCTTGCCACGACGTGGACGGCAAAGTGGGGCAAGTCAGGCGCAGAAAGAAGAGTCAGGTCCAACATACAGAGACAGGGAATGAGAAGTGGTTACAATGATCTGAGGAGGGGGGCAGAGGAGCCGGAAATGGTCTGAAGACGCAAGGTAGCGGATACGGCCCATGAAGAAGACGAACCCACAACACGCCCTACGCCTCAGACCCTGTGTGTGCTGAGGAGTCTCCTTCCAAGAGGAGGTGACAGCAAAAGTAACCACATGAGGTGCTACCTTGTTTCACCACAGTAATGAGTTATCATAACCAGTATCGCAGCATCAACATCACCTCCTAGCCCTTAGACACAATAGGGCACAATTCATCAATAAAAAAGAAAAACTTTAAAAAAATAAATTAAGCCAAACAGCCTGTGCATGAAGAAGGTACATCAGGGGCATCCTGAGCCCCAAGACACATCTTCCTCCTCCTCCAGGAAGCCGCCCTGATGACTGCAGTCAGCCGTGATGGATGTCCCTGACACTGGCATCAGAGCTGACAAGCCAGAGGTCGAGCCAGTTTCCTCGCTGGCGACCTGCAGAAGCTGAGCCTGTCTGCAGGCTGGGGACCGTCCCAACGGGAGTGGGCATTCCGGAATCCATCCTAGGCCCTCCAGTTCCCTGCACTCTCTGGTGACTACACTGTGGGAGCACAGTGACTGCACCCACAGGAAGCCGTGTGGCAGAATGGTCAGGAGCACCCTGGCTTTTCACCCTTAGGTATTTAACCTGAAAAAGGACCAGAACAGGTGCTGCAGGATTCACACAGGCAAAAGGCAAAACAGCCAACGTGTTTATCAAAGAATGACCGCATAAGCACAATGTGGGATATGAGTGTGCGCACAACCGACTACAATTCAGCCTTGAAGAGGAAGGCGATTCTGACGCGTGCCGCGGCACGGAGGAAGCCTGAGCACACCGTGCTCAGTGAAATAAATCAAGCACAAAAGGCCAGTGGCTGTGTGACCCCTCTTCTGTGAGGTACCCACGCCAGGTGAGTTCATAGAAACAGACAGCAGACTAGAGGTGACCGGGCGGGGGACGGAGAGCTGGGAAATTACCCGTGGTCACAGAGATTCTGCTTGGGTTGATAAAAAAAAAAAAAAAAAAAGGTTTTAGAAATAGATGCTGATGACTGCACAACATTGTGAATGGAATTAATGTCACTGATTTGTACACTTAAAATGGTGAAAATATAAAATTTTATGTTACAATAGATATTTCACCATAATTTAAAAAGCTAACAGACAAAAGGCCATTGGTTTCTATACTTTAAATAGGTGAATTGTATGTGAGTTACTCTGCCATAATGCCATTTAAATAGATAAAAGTGAGGGGCCAGTGCTGTGGCATAGTGGGTTAAAGCCACTGCCTGCAGCCCCGGCACCACATGGGCACTGGTTCGAGTTGTGGTTGTTCCATTTCCAATCCAGCTCCCTACCAGTGCATCTGGGAAAGCAGCTGAAGAAGGCCCAAGTCCTTGGGCTCCTGTATCCGTGCAGGAGACCCGGAAGAAGCTCCTGGCTCCTGGCTTCGGACCTGTCCAGCTCTAGCCATTTGAGCCATTTGGGGAGTAAATCAGCAGATGGAAGATCTCTCTCTCTCTCTCTCTAACTCTTTCTTTCTTTTTTAAAGATTGATTTATTTGGAAGAGTTACACACAGAGAGAAGGAAAGGCAGAGAGAGAGAGAGAGAGAGAGAGAGAGAGAGAGAGAGAGAGAGAGAGGTCTTCCATCCACTGGTTCACTCCCCAGTTGGCTGCAATGGCCAGAGCTGCGCCAATCAGAAGCCAGGAGCCAGGAGCTTCTTCCAGGTCTCCTGCATGGGTGCAGGGGCCTAAGAACTTGGGCCATATTCTACTGCTTTTCCAGGCCATAGCAGAGAGCTGGATTGGAAGTGGAGCAGCCGGGACTCAAACCAGCACCTATGTGTGATGCCAGCACTGAAGGCAGCAGCTTTACCCGCTACGCCACAGCAATGGCCCCAAATTCTGCCTTTCAAAGAAATAAATAACTCTAAAAAATACAAGATGAAAGTGAGCAGTCAGTAGGGACCTTCTTCCTGGGTTTAACTCCTAGCTCTGACACTTGCTGCCGGCCTGACCCTGAGCAAGCCACTTATTCTTGCTAAGCCTGGTTTTCTTACCTTTACAACGAGGGTAACACACAACTGCTCGCTGAGTTGCTGAGAAATAACCAAGCAAAGGCTGAGCCCAGCGACTGGAGCAGCACCGGCTTTCAACAGGTGTGGCTTACCTGCCACTGCCATGAGGGAGGGCGTGGGCCCAAACCCAGAGAGGTGCGGGACCTGAAGTCTCATCTCCCTGCAGCCCAACCCCAAGGCCAGCCTCAGCACCAGGCACGCGGAGCTGAGCCCTCCCTTACAAAGCAGCGAAGGGGCTGCTGGTCTGAGCTGTGCTGGTACCACGTGCTCATAACACTGAACCACGGGACCCCACAGTGGTGCTGCAGCTTCCACCAGGCAAAGGGAGCCCCCTGCAGGGCCCACCCCGGAGGAGGTGCTCCCTGTCCTCTAGGCCCTCTCGGGTGGTCTGATGCCAGACCACACAGGACAGGAAGGCCTGGGCGGGCAGAGGGTTCGTGGCTGAGAGGCTGGAGGGAGAGCTCAGTGGGCAGGGGTCAGGCCACTGCACAGAGAAGCCTTGGGTGGCTGGAACCCAGCGAGAGCAGTGCCGTGTCCTCCGTACAGAGACGAATGGACACTCAGTGTCCGTTCAGATCACGACCTGCAACTACTGCTTGGGTCTACTGGGGTGCCAGCGCTCACACTCCGCCTGTCTGGTCAAGTGTTTCTAAACGTTTTGGTTCATCGGGCTGTGCAAGGGAGAATGGAGGAAAGGAGGGTTTGTCCAAACTGGGACCACACCTCAGAGGGGGACAGTGACGATGGGGGCCAGCAGGCTGGGTGTGGACCCCAGGGGATGGAAAGCCTGGCAGAGGGCCAGCGGGCCCGCCTCCCCTGCCATGCGCCAGCCCCTCGTACGCTGTGCTCGCTGCTCATCCTGCATGCTGCCCTGGAGCCACGGGGTGACCTGTGTCCCCTGTCCTGGAGCTGCCTGGCTCGGGCTCATCCCGTATCACTCATGTGGCTGGCGCACAGCAGTGCCCAGTGTGGAGGGACCAATGGGCCCGGCCGTGCGGTCCTTCAGTCAGCCCATCTAGATTCTGGTCCAGCTGGAGAGCACTTGGAGACTTTTCACCTTTCACCCCACTTCCCTCCCTCCTACACTCAGCCCATACGGAGGAGAACGTTCCCGAGACAGGCTTTCCTCGGTGTCGGGAGAGGGGAAGAAATGAGGGTGCAGAGCCCTCGGAGGCAGTGCACCTGCCAGGAAGGAAGGGCCCACGGCGGTTCCCAGGCCCTGGGCCACCTGGGGAAGCATTCCCGGCTTCAGGCCGGACACCAGAGCCGCTGGGTACCGCAGCTGTGAAGGGGCTGCTCAGCCCAGGCTGCGGGGACCCAGCGGGGAAGCCAGGCCAGGGCCCTTCCCAGGCCTGGGCTCACATCAGCCTCTCAAGCTGGAGCACTGCTGGGAGCGTGGGAAAGGGGACTCACGGAGGACAGAGCCTGGAGGGCTTCCTCCGTGTGGTGGCGGGGGCGCCTGGTCAGAAATCACGGTGCGCCACAGAGAAGGTGGAGACGTTCTGCTGCTCGCGCGGCACGCTGTGGGCGGGCGCTCGCGCTCAGGACGTGATCATCAAACGTGTCCTCACACCAGGCCAGCCCCTGGGCCAGCATCTGACGTGCAGCCAGCGAGGCTGCGGACCCGGGCCGCCCCTCGGAGGCTGGGCGCTGCTCCCCGGGGGCCGAGCCGGGCCTGCGGGAGGTGGCGCTTACCCCCTCTGGGAGAACTTCATGGCCGTGTGGATGGGGTAGCCTTCGGGCCCCAGGATGTTGCAGCGGGCGTTGCACAGCAGCAGCACGCGGACCATCTCCTGCTTGCCCATCTGGCAGGCCAGGTGCAGCGGGGTCAGCCCTTGGCTGTTCACCTGGTTCACACCCGTCGACGCGTTCTTTCCTAGGAGCTGACAGCAGGACACCAGGGGTGGGCAGAGCCCAGCACAGAGAAGCCCCCGTGTGTCCTCCTTCCTGACACCCGGGGGTGGGGAGGCCACCTCTCTCGGGACCAAAAGGAAGGAGGTTTGATACCATGAGGAGCTGACGAAACTTTTAAAGAGGAGCAAGAGGGTAACAAGTCGGTGTGGACTGGCTGGTGGGG